CGGGGACTACGCCGACTACCACCGGCGTTTCAACCCCGAACATGAAGATCTGATGTGCATTTGTGGCCGAGAGAAAAGGCCCTGGCATTTTTCAGAGTGCCGACCTGCTCTGCAACGTTGGAGAAGCTGTGAGAAAATGACTCCACCTGGGGTCAGGGAAATGATAGGGGAGAAGGGATGGCAGAAGTTTTTCCAATTCTTAACCATAAGCAGATGCTACAGTCTGCCGAAGAACTGACAGGGTGGGAGTGACCATGCTGAGATAGTTTCTGGCTCGAGAGGAGAGGTGTTTGGAAGATAGGGATACGGTGCAGGGCACCGTAACTCAGACATTTGCTGTGATTTTATTTTTCTTTTGTCGCTTCTGGCTTTAATGCCGGTCATGTAGGTAGCAATGAGCTCGTAGGGCCCATCTACCCGTGTCACGTCTAAATAGATGTTGGGTTCGTCCTGTCACGTTAAAGATTTCAAATTCAAATTCAAATCAGGGCCCATCTAGTCAACATTTACAACGTAATACCGTGGCCCACGTATCTTTCTTAAGAATCATTGTAAACGAGATAAAGAATGAACCATGAATGCGCATTTCTTCTGAACGATAGTTCGAAATACTTACACAAGTACTCTCATAACTTCAAGTGAACTAATAGACTTTTAGTGTATGACCTTTGTCATACAAACAAACATTCATGCATATTTGAATCTTCGAGCGCAGGATTATTAGATCCTGGCTTTCTATTGCTATGTTGGGTCATTGTAGGCGCCAACACGTCGGGTAGTTTTATGTAGACTGGGCTAACCGGCATGTGAAAAGCTCACATGCTGTGCGCGGGCACGACGTTAGTTAAGAAAAATAAATAAAAATCACACAATAAAGACTTTATTCTCTTCCACTACATGTCTTTTTGAATTAACCACATATTCTTGACACGTACCTCCTAAAGAGAAAAGTCAAATATTTTGGTTGCCCAAGTGTAACAGTTTCGATATAGAAAGCTTGATAGTTTGTATGCCAAAATGTAATTTATTTATTAACTGGGGAACAAAATTACTACTACATCCAATGCCCTATTTATTTACATGATCCTGATGTTCTGAACACTAGTAGCTATCCTCCAGTCGGGCTCCCGTTATCCAGGTGTGAGCTAGTTACCAACAATGTTTCGTGCTTAGACAGTTCCAGACTTTCAATAAGAGCATAACTTAACGCTGACCTAATAAATATGCCTGTGCTGAGTAGCACAGGCTACAGGCAATCTATCGGCTTACTAGCCGTCACACCTAGCATGCGCTCGTCACTCATACACGCGAGTACTGCACAAACACTCAACTTTTTTTATCGATCTGTGTAAACGAAGGGTATTACAGTAACTCATGTCGACACTGACAGTTGTGATGGATGATAGATTTGGATGGTGTTAGCTTTTATACTTTAATTTTTATTCAGATTTCTAGCTATCATACATGGTCAGTGCTATGTGTATAAATTGGATAACTTTTCTGACTTTAGAGACATTCATACTCTGAATTCATTCATATATACCATTATGTGGTATATTTGCTTATGTAATAAATTCGACCCTTGTGCGTGAGTACCCATCTAAGGAAAGTTACAAACCTTCAAGTTATCTAAACATAATTTCGTCGTTCATACACACCAGAACCGCCAGATATGTGATTGAGTGTTTCTATTTTTGAATTAAAAATTTCATGTTATAAGTATGATAGGTACCGAAGCTATCTAGAATCTAATTGGCAGACTAGCTCTAAGGATGTACTAGTACATCATTCAACCAATGCTATGTTTAAAGTACCAACAGTACTCTCTCAAACGAAGTTGTAAAACATTTAATGCTCTTCCTTTCATAGAATTTCACCTGAAAAGTCGAAATTCCACACATTTCAAGATAATTTTTATCCATAGCAATTATATCTATCTGTCTTTTTCTCACACACGTCTATCTTGAAGGCCTGCCTTGCAGATTTTTGCACAAAACTTTTTCCTCCTACAGGTAATGGGACTCTGGTGGGCGTATTTTTCGAGGCTAGCTGAGGCCAGATTTCGAGCCAGCAAGAATTGCAGCCATTAAAACAGTAATATACTAGATCTTACTTCATTTCATTCATTGTTCTAGTTTAACGTCCTATGCGGTATCTATATACATAACCATGAAGACGGTAAGCCATGTTAGGAAGGGAAAAAGCTTTCAACAAACAAAACCCGATGTCCTGCCACTCTGAACCGACCCGGCTTAATGCTGAGGACGTTCCTTTCAACCATAATTTTTTAAACTTTCCCTAGAATTCGTTAACTCCCCTGTCGATCAGACTAACGTTATAAAAAATTAAATACAGAAGGCACCTCCTCACTCGGCGTTGGTCTTCAAAGTGTTCGAAGAGTTGGCCCCGTTGGTGCTGCTGGAGCTTCGACTACCTTACGTGGTCGTCCCGGCCCTCTTTTGAGTCCTTCAGCCTTTTTACTGGTGACCAAAGTGAATCCTTGATCATCAGTTGGTCCGACTGTTCGCATTGGCGCCATTTATGGTTTTTCATTCCATATTTCCGCCGTTCTTGAAAATAGCTCCATCAGAGCCTTCTCCACACTTCCCTTGTAGACCTAGTAGGTCTGACACGCTGCTTTCTGCCACGAATGGTGCTCCTTGCCACAGTTCGCACAAGAATCCCTTTTCCTCGGACAGTCCCGAGTTTGGTGAGCGCCAGCGTACTCACTGCACCTGGTTGCCTTTCCACACGACGCCTGCGTGTGTCCCCACTGGCTGCAGTTGTAACACTGCTTTGGCTGTGACCGTGGTGACCAAACCTGCGCGGTGTAGAGCATGGCGTTCATCACAAGGCCGTTTCGGACCACTTCCGTCTGCATTACCTCCAATGCGAGGCTTACCACGATTGATCCACGAGTGCAGCCATTTTTCTTTGACCGCTGGTGTTCCTTTCCGTCGTGTAACCACCTTATACGACTTATGACTAAGCCTGGAATCCGTGCCTTCGTAGCCGTCTCTATCTCCCTTATGATGGCAAAATTGTTTGCATCTCTGCCCCATTCAATTCGTGTCCGTCATGGGACACCGTCGACCTCGACTGGGAAATCTTGCCGCAGAATTTTGAAATCCGTTGGTTGTCGCATGTTTAGTGCCACGTCCCTCTGGAACGCCGACTGGCCGAACACCTCAGTGTCGTTGCTTCGCATTTGGCGAATCGCGTAAGCGCCTTGGATATGTTGTTGTGCCTTAGTTAGCAGCTCTTGTGGCTGCAAGTTTTGTGCGCCGTCGATTCTTACTCTGACCGCCGTCTTCGCCATTTGCGGAGCTACGACCGACGCGTAACTCCTTGGTGTCGGCGCGTCCGAAACCACTGCTGGAGCAGCTTTTCGAGCGGGATCCGCGAGGTTTTTCTTTACGACTTCCTCTAAAGCCATCATCCTCTCCTCGATAGGAGACTTCTTCTAGGACATTTCCTTCCAGGCCCTTTTGTGCGCGTTGAAGGCCTTCACGGCCTCGTTAACGCCCTCTATTGAGGGTTGGTCCTCTTCATCCATCTCTCCCATCACTATAAGTCTAACCTGTTTCAATAGTTTCCCTAGGATTTCAAGGTTCTTGTCCTTTGGAGCTGTCTGCGCTCCGCTGCCGTTGTTGGTTGAGGCCATTGTCGCATTTTGCGACGCGTCGAAACCGCTGGATTTACCCACACCAGCACCCACACTCGCCATGTTAGAGCACAGAAAGCGAAAAGATGGTAGGAGAGTAATGAAGATGTAAAAATAATGATCACAATGTCAAATTGATGATACGGGCAGCGTGGAGCGCTGCGCAGCTTTCTAGCAAAAATGATGTTTCTCCTCCTAGATCTTACTTGTGAACTTGATGAGGTTTTCTTCAGAATAAATCATATATGGTGTAAAATATTGCTATGATTAGTAGCTTTGAATCATTGCCTCATTAACCAATATCCTTCGTACTGAGAAATTTGAATGAGCTTGGTTCTATGGTAATAATTCTCCAATAATATGGTAAAGGACACCACTAATAGGTAATAAATTTGCCCTCGAGCGCGCGTCAACTTGGGCTGCCAGTATGTAGGTGATCTTTGGTTTAGAACCGTGGCTAAATGGCGCAATAGTACAGCATCTAGGACAGTCTCACAAGTCGCGTCCTAGTAGTCTGGCCACTTATCCCTCTCAAAAATTACATTCCTTATTCGAATAGAGCAAGGCACAACTAGAATTTACGTTACTAGTTGGTCCATTAGATGATCCGGGTATGATACAGTAGTTAGAATTTGAAGTTTTCCTTTTCGCAGATATATACTATCCAACAAAGTATGATATCCCTTGTGGCGAGCCGGATAAGTATTGTCCGCGGTAGCAATCCAATACAAGCCCGCGGCAATCAATTGACTAGAATCCCTTTTTAATAGTAAGTTAATGGTGTAGTTACCTCAATACGTATTCCACCAAATCCGATCCCGGTGTGGATAATTATATCTCTTAGTATCGATAATTTTATTTTTTGAGTTCATTCCTCTCTGATGTTATATCAGTCATTAAAAATGACTGAAAACTAGTAATTTTTTAAGCAAGAAAGGCAGATCACTGCTAAATTACCGACTGAATTGAACTGCCCCCTTTTTCGGAATTCAAGCAGAATTGACCCTTAACCAAGCTAGCTCGATTACATGAGGGGTTTCAACTTTGCTTGCTACCCTGGCTTGCTATGGAATTAATAAGCTAATCTTCACGTCCAGTCTGGCTGTGTGAGCGGATTTAGAATCTCTGTTCAATGTCGGTACACTCTTTCTTCGATACTCGTTCCTATGATGACATGAAGGGAGACTAATTTGCTCCACACCATCCATTAGTGTCTTTGACGAGGTGGAAACCCTTTTATTAATACATTTTGTAGTCACACGAGCAATTCAGCTCACTAATATCAGTGATTTCACGGCCCAATTTCTGGAACAGCATATTTGAGTAGGAGATGGGGTCACAAAAAGTCCAATCCGCCTCTCAATACAAGTAAATCTTCCCGAATCTGGTCCACATCGACTCCAACCCTTCCGGCCACCTCAGCTCTCCGTTGACTTCCTAGCTCGTTCCAACGGCTTAAGAGCGTGCCATCCACAACTGTTCGACCACCTGCCATGCTTTCCGGGGCATCTCGATCAATCCTAAATGCCCTTGGGTTCAGTCCGCAAGCATGATGCAAGGTATTTGATAAATGTGTGGTTAGCGTGCTCAGTCTACGGTATTGGGCTTCAGTTAAAGGCGATAACAGAGCAATACATCCTGTATCTAGTGTTATAATAATTTGATGACCAATATTAGTCGTATCTACTACCGTATTCATAGTGTTTGTAGAGGGAGGGAGGTGTACGGATGTCTTAGTGCGAGGGAGAAGAGTCATGGTCGTGGGGAAGTGACCGCCGAGGGCAAATGTAGAACGGTGTAATAGCTGATGACCATGTAAGGATTTAGGATCTATTATCATTAGTCTATTGTCCACAATAGCTTGGTATTGGTATTACTTACGCTCTGGATTATATTGCAAGATGTGCAAATTACATTCTGCATCAGCTACAGCGATATATAATTCCTTCCCATCCGGCAAAAACTCGGCCGTAAGTGCTTCCATTTTTTTCCCTGATTTTCCGAATAACATCATTTTATATGGCTCTTCAGTATAGCCGGCAAGCCAAACACCTTTAATGATATCGGCAAAGATACATAGACCAGTACCACGAAGTTCTTTGATACACGTGACAAAAGAGTTCATGTCCATGAATGCAACAGGCAGAAGAGATCCATCTTCTTTTAGACCTCGGACCATACACTTCTGCCCTTGGGAAACAAGCATAAAACCCTGTGTACCTATCTCAGATAGGGCAGTAACCGCCCCGCGAGCGATTTCTTCTTTCGCAATTTGTTTCAGACGTTTATTTGTTTCAGGTCGATCTGGTTCCGGTACTGCAGATACGATATCGAATACATATATACGTCCCTTTGTGGCCAGGTCTTCCCCCTTACAGATGGCTGTGCCAACAGTTATAAGTTGCCTACGCTCATTCGTTATCTCAGATACTTCAAGACTCAACGTTTTGACGCAGAGGATACTCTCAAAGGGATCCAATTCAACTGTATGGATTTCTGACCAGTTAATAGGGTTATATAACTTCAAAAAGCTCTGTTCTGTTGTAGCTCTGAACGAAATATCTTCTCTCGCCCACTCTCGGTGATGATCATCATCCTTGGGGAGCTCGAAGTCAACTTTCGTACTTGTTGCCACGACGTAGCAGTCCATAGGTGGGTGATATGTCACAGCGTGAACAGCATCCCCGATATCAACTCTTCGTAGGGGCATACCAAGCTCCGCAAAACTAGTTTGTTGAGGCAATTGTGCAACACGTGTAATGCCTTTAACATCAACATAAATGAACCCTCTTTCACAACCAGCAGTATGGAAGCCACTTATTCCTCTTACGCCTATGCTCTGTAGGCCTATCACTTTCGGAATACTTTTCGAATTCTTTAATATAATACTAGGAGACGTTCCGGGTAAGAAAACTAAGCTGTAACCCCCAACATTTGGGATGGATTTCATAGGTCTCTCTCTAATTTCTCGAACACTATCGGGATTTTCGTTTCCAGAAATATCGGGATTTTTAGCGAGATGTGGGTTATATAGTTTGAGGAATCTTAGTGTTGAAGAAAGATCGCTTGTAGATGATATTTTGGTGCGGTAGGGCTCATATATTGTTAAATCATCATTCAAGCAACGAAGCTTTAAAAATTAGTATAAGCTTAGGTCTACTAGAATCATCACTCACTATAAGATAAGGTGACTTTGAAACTTCTTCCCCAAGGTCCGCGACTAGCATTTCAATGATAGTTGCTTTTGCAGTAGTCCTTCGCACGACATGGTCAATACTCAAAACTGGTGGAACAAAACAGAGGCTCTCAGCAACATAGACAGGCTCGGTAAGTTCTGGTAGTGCATAAATCTAGTATGTTAATGTCTGTAACTATTAAAGTTTTGAGTAAACTCACATGCAATGTACCTCTCTCGCTGAGTAGAAACATCATTACCCTACCTCGATTCTTTATTTTTTTTTCGGGGTCCACAGAAGCAAATATACCAGTAGAATCACAATAGATGCAGCCTGTGATCCACTTTGTTGTTAGAAGTATTTTATCCACTCTATCTACTTCCTCTAACTCATTGTTGTCGTCACACTGAGCGACAAAAATGCTTGAATCATCCCTTACTAGAAGCAAATACGGGTCTGCGAAACTCGCACTAACAACCTTTGGCTCAGCACCTGTGTCGTCGTCATACATGGGAATAATCTGTGCTAGACCGAGATCTGATGGAATATTTGTTAGCATCTTGTGAATTCTAATAAATTTTACTTTCATGTCATTGAAGAGCTGGGAGGGCATACAATATATATACATCTAGCAAAGGAGAGTACTATCTATGTCATAATACATGTAAGAATATTCGCAGAGAGCCTCTAGGATAAGCCCAGTAGAAAAGAGAACATTATAATTTTGATTTTAAAACCGCGAGGGATGCTATTCCAAACTATACGAACCAAAGATAAAAAGAGAAATGACTCACCACCATCATAACTTCTAACTTCAGATTTGAGGACTTGGATAATCCGCATGCAGTTACCTAGTGTGCCAACTTCAACTGTTTGTCCAGCAGCTGGCTCAAATTCAGTTCCCGTTAAAGCTTCGAAGGTAGCTGATGTCAGAGCAAAGACATCAGATTTCTCTACACTCCCATCGATTTCTTTAGAAACAATCATTAATCTATCATACTCCTGATGGACTTCATGCCAGCTTCCCAAATTAGAATTATCATTAGAATTCTCGTGTTTCCTTTCCGAAAGTTTTTTTACATTTACCGTCCATATTCCCCTGGCTTCAGGAAATTCAAAACGTCCAATTACAGTGGGCTGAATATTTTGATGAAGGATAACCAGAGAGCCGGATTTTTCTTTACCAACAGCTGCTATTATATCCAAGTGTCCATTATTATCTTCCAGTGTATTTTTAGCAGTGACACTATTTTGGTTCGCCGAATTCCCAAAAGTTACGTCTAAAATTGGGCCAATATTTGCAAGTGTATCGTGGATATAAAATATATAGTCTCCTGCCTTGCTGTTAAGCGTACCTGATCTCTCGTCGAATTCTATTTGAGATGAAATAGTATCGCCATATAAGTCGTCGTCTGCATCGTCGTCATCATCTTCATCAAGCGAGATATCGCCAGCCTCCTCAGATAATTCTTGTCGCGATTTACGGCGATTTGTATGGTTCACACGACGACTCCATCCAAGAACAACCGAATCTGCACATTCGCTCCCCACGAATACTGCGTTTGGACTGAGAGCACTCACACAAGATGCCCTTGTAGGGATTAATGAGCCTCCTGAAATTTCAGCTACTCGACGAATCCCTAGACCAGATACCGATCTTCCATCCATATGGAAGCTTAGCAATGCAAGCTTGCCGTCCAGGAGAATTATTATCATCTCACCAGTTTGTACAGAAATCTGCTCAATCTTACAACCTTCAAGGCGCATTTCCATATCAGACTGATCATAAAGGTTTAAAGAAGTACACTGCTTAGCAAACATATTGACAGCTATTCCATTCGCTTTTCCTGCTTGGTCAATATGTATCAACTCATTTGCACCAATTAGTAGAGCTCCACCAACAGGGGCCGGTAGCGCAACGACTTGAGTCAAATCATACGGTAGACCGCATACAGATAAAATAGTTGTAGACGCCTTTTGGTACAGATCTAATGTGAACACCATGTATGTGAGGCTGTCTTTTCTCTCAGAAAGAAGCGAGGATGCAGGAGAATAATTGGACGAAAGAATTCCGAAAGTAGGTTCGCGATACTCGTAGAGGAAGGCCAGATGAATAGGATGACGTAGATTTGGATCGAGGCTAGGCAAAGGAAGTACAAAAGATGCATTGTAAGGTCTCTCGTCCTTCGTAGCAGATCCATTCACGTTTTTCGATGCAATCTTTTCAGATGAGTTATTGTCATCCAACTCGTCATCCCAGTCTACCATGTTCACATCCTCATCACCTTGTCTGAACGGAAGAATCGCCAAGTTGCGAAGACCGAACTTTAGAGCTGCACATCGGCTAGCAGGATCAGCAGAAAGGTAATTGACGCAGTCCTTTAAACTTGGTGCCCATGGGCTACTTTGGAGATCATCTTGCTCATAGTAATGAATTGAAATAGTAGATATTCCATGAAGAATCGGATCCCATTCCACAAGACTAAGTTTTGCATCTTTCAATCCTATCAACACCGCCTCTCCACCAGATTTTGATGACACGGTTTTTACTCGGACAAGTGATGTGATAATTCCAGAGAGTGTATATTCTGCAATTAGTACGAGCTTTGTCCTTCGCGCCCGATCATTCCGAGTTGAATCGTCATTTGGTAAAGCGTCATTTTTTTCACTTCGCCGGGATACGTCGACATCTGGTACAGTATCGAGCTCGACCGAGACAACCTTCGTGGTAAATATCTGTAGTAGACTAGTTTTAGCAACAAGAAGATTATTCGAATCGGCAGAAATAAACGGAATTCTTAGGGAGTGTGTGACTGCAGTAGGTGGTGATAACTCAGTGTAACATTGCATTTTGAAAGTCAAATGAGGGTCATGGTCTCGCCAGCTCTACAGTCTGAAGAGATAGCGGATAAGTAGCGACTGTGTAGTCAACAGATCTGAGGATGTAAATTTTACGCGTGATTTACAAATTGGAATGGACGCGCTATCAACGAGTATTACATCCTGAATTGGCAGGGATAGTGCGAGCTTTATGCATGCCCTCCTTCACAGCTACTGAGATGATGACATGATAACTGTATACCGAAAGTACCTTCAGAAATGTGGAGATCTTCAAAAGTATTTTTTATCAACTTCTCATGATACGTCTACAGCCTAACATCAAACATCGTGTCGAACATAGCCTTTGCGCTGGCTTTCTAGGTCCAAATTAATAATTAACAAGATGACGTTCACTTCCATCACTCTAATTTGGATGTTCTATGGCATTGCTATCCTACTGGCAGCATTAGGAGCCTCTATTTTAACGAACTCATACCAGATTCCCCGAGGTCGTTCCGCGATTGTTACGTTTACAACTATCATCGTGCTCACTTGTGCGCTTGCGACGCTTTTGCTAATTCCGGTAGACATAGCTCTAATCAGCTCTACAAATTCAGCTAATCAGGGAGTCAAAAAAAAATGGGCGACTCCAGAAACTGTCCGGAATTTGATACAGGGGCTTAAACTATGTTATATTGCTTTATTTGCAATCGATACTGTAATGTGCCTTCTGGTCGTTCCATTTACATACTTTTTCTACGAAGAGTACGACGAGATAGAATCTGAAGACAGCCGGCAAAATTTCGGCCACAGACTACTTGGAGCGCTAAAATATTCTTTTATTTTTATTCTCCTTGTGATTATCTCATTTACAGTTGGTTTCTTTATCCCTATGGCTAAGGATCCAAACTTCAATTTCGAATATTTCAAACATCTGTTGATCAAGTCGCATGGCGAACGTGCTTTGGCTTTTATCTTGGATTTATTTATATCTCTCGGAATCCTTCTCCTAATTTACTACACCGCGGTTGGGGTAGCTGTATTTCCGATATCGATAATTAAAACTATTCCTTCACAGAGCGTTCCTCAACTGTATGAAACCACAACTTCAGCCTTGGCGCAAAATAGACAACTTCAGCGCCAGATTGAAGTCCGTCATAACAGTAACAATATACCGTTATCCACAAAATATCAGAGGCAACTCGAAGCATTAGTTCGCGAGGAGCGAACCCTTGTTCGCCGAGAAAGACTAGCTGCTGAGACTTCTAGCCTTGAAGAATCTAGTCTATACAGAATTTGTGACAAATTTTCTCCTATATTCAGACCATTTAAAATATTCCAGGGTGCAATACTGTTAACTTTTTTTATCACTATCTGGGTGTCAATGTTGGTTGCAATTATTGATAAGGCTAAGAACTCAATTTGCCAGCAAGGGTGTGGCTACTCTCTAGGGACGTAAGTGTTTAATTCTTGACCCTAGGTCTTATCTGATAGAAAACAGTATAGAATTCTCGTCGCCAACCAACTACCTTCTAAATCAAGCATCGAGAATTACGCCGCTCGAACATGTTATTACTACACTTATCCTCATCTTCCTGTTTAGTAGCTCTGTATATGGAATCTCTGTCATTGGTATCCGCTTTCTTTGGATCAAAATTTTTGAGATCAGGAAAAGACGCACCGAACCTCAAGCAATGCTAATTATGTCAGTCATGCTGACTCTTATTGTGCTAGCAATAGACTACTCATTTTTTATGATTGTGGCACCCCAATATTTAAGGTATGGCACCCAAACCTTCTGCGATAATACAAGCGACCATTACAAGGGCAAATCGGATTGTTCGAATAATCCAGAGCTGGTAAAATTGTGCTCGCAACTTCCACCAGACCATGTGTCGGGTATTGCTTGCACAGCTAGTGTGATGTCTTCTATGCTTAATCAGCTGGCGATAAACTTCCCTTTTTTGGGTGCCTTTCAGTTCTGGTCACAGTCCATATTTTTAGCTGTCTCTATAGTAGCTATTTTTATCGCACTTCTCCTCGGAACAAAAATTAATCTGAGAAAATTTGAAGATATTGCAGAAGCAGATGAGGACGAGCGTCTATTGGCTCCAAACGAGCCCCGATACGGTACAATATGGCACGGTGAACGTGGGAAATTTATGACAAACCCTCTTATTGCGGGAGTTGACAACGTGAATAATACGAATAGGTAACTAAGATTGTCTCATTTTCTTGTATTTTGCATAAGAGAAAACTTTCCCAGATTTAAACATCATGGAATTGGATCGGTTTACTCATGTAATTACCTAAATTCTGGTCACGTTTTTCTTGTATATAGAGTAGATTTTACACGCAATGGTTTCGCAGACCTGAAATTAAACTGAGAAACTAGTGGGCAGACGAAAAGAGCTTTGACGTCATAACTCCTTTTCGTAAATCCACCATTAGCCGGCATTTGTCACTGTCTACTCGGTGAAAGCGCAGGCCTTGCAAGCCATTCTGTACCATGGAAGATACTTTGAGGGCTACTTCACATAAAACGTTCTTAGTATGCTTCTCAAAATAAAATAAAATTCACTATTTAAAATAGATCACCTGTGCACCTTTTACGAGAGTCCTTGGGAAGCAGGCTCGCTGGATCAGATATGTGGTAAACAGAGTTAAATTGACTAATGCAGATTTGGCCAGGAGGTCAGATTTGCGTAAAAGTGAGCTGGCGATGGACTAAGGTGATTTCAACCCAGAGTTGAATCTCCACATAGGGTTTCAAAAGTATCGGTACTAATGGCCATTAAAGTCGGTATTTTATTGAAGTTTCAGGTTGCTTTTTTTTTTAAATCATTTAATGTGTATTCAGCTATCTAGCTATGACACATGACCGGCGCTATGTATACATGTGGGATTGGGTTGCATTTCATCTCGCTTTGCACTAAGAATGGTGTATCTCTCTGTTGCTGGGTCATTATCTTGATGACTCAGCCAATGCACGAACTAAACGTTCGCAACGTTTAGGATAGATTTCACTTCATATCGTTTTGTCCGTCCTGGTACCCTATGGGCCCATACAGGTATAGCTAGCTATAATATTTACGCAGGAGGAAATCAAATTCAGTAAAAACCCCAAAATTGACTGTCTCGTGTCTATTTTGTTTCTGAGGTTTCCTACAGGAAGTGCGTTTACACTGTTCATATGTTGTGAATTCCGTCCTATCCTTGTCCACATCGTCTCATCTTTTCGTTCAATGCTATTTCTATTTCTCCTGCAAGCCGGAATTGTTCAAACCAGCCTTTTGCCAGTGTCCATCTATGATCCTCTCAATATCACCTGGGCTGTTCATCATTGCTGTTAAGGACATATCTATTGTTTTCGCAGGACCTCTACTCCTCCCCTTGCTCACTGAGGACACGCCAAGACCATATATTTGATATTTGAGACGGATATCCACACTGGAATTTTGGATTAATCACTCCGGAGACTTTCCTTCAATACAGATAAGAGTTGAGACCAATGTGCTCATTTATTATCTGAACTTCATTACTATTTTGGACCCTGCTATGGATCCAGTGATTACTTAAGGGTAAGTTACCCTAAGTAACACTTTTTCAGCCTGCTGCCTCGTCTGTGTCGATATTTTCGGCTTTCCATTTTTCAGGGTCTGCCCAAGCTCGATGACCAGATAGGTTCTCGTTCCCTTGACGTGTCCATGAGTTTTTCCACTTCTGGAACGCGGCCACCTTACCGTCATCTTTTTGTCTACCTTTCGCGTTCTCCAAACCACAAATTCTGGTCCATTCTTCAATATCTAGCTTTCGATTCTTGGCGTGCCTATTCTTGGTTTCCTTTGTGGTCTGCTTGACTTTACTGTGTGAAGGCTCCACCATCACACATCGACAAGAGTGCCTTAGGTTCCTGTCGGCAATAGGTATCCGTCCCGTAACTAAGTGCCGTGGCACTGTGCACGGACTCCAGGCGCGTAAACATTGTATCTAATAGTTTTCTCCCACATTACTTTCATAGATTGTGTAGGAGGACGAAGGCTGAACACCTGTTAGTGGTGTCCTCTACGAACCTGGGAATGAAATATTCTCCCGGAGCCTGATTCAATCATGAAAAATGGTCGGATGAATTTTATTTGATGGATTTTCGACTTTAAGGAGTTGCACTCGATATTTTGGTCGAGAAATCAGTCGGCAGAGATTTCACAGCCGCAACAAAGTCGTTTAAAAGCTCATCACCACCAACATATGACTCACGAATGGATTTAGGTCTGTCTGGGGGTCGTATTCAAACATCCGACATCTCTCAAACTCCTTTTATATTTGCGACGCTCCATTTCTCAGCCGATTCTACACCTGCGACCCACCCCCATACTCGTCACATCACCTACCTACGCACGCCCTAATGAGGAAATTCATGACGGAAACGGGACGTGTACAAAGGAGGAAGAAAAGCGAAGATACACCGAGGGGATTACACAAACCCCAATGACGACAACAACCCAACGGTACGATATGAAGGTGCGAGGCTAGAGCAACGATGAGATCTTGGACGGCATTTATATTTCGGAGTCAATGAGGATGTCAAGGGCTTAGGCGCGCGGTGGCCGAGGCTGAGGAGGAATTTGCGCTATGGCGTGTTGACAGCGGGTTTCTGGACGGTTAGGCTTGACATGATTCAACCCATGGGTGAAGTCTGAGGTGATCCAGTCATTTAAGTGGGACGAGGTATATCTGTACAGTCTCATAAGGGTATCAGAAGTACAATTGTCAAAATGACTGGGGTTATATCCCTGTACATATTGATTATATTTGTTCAGCCTTCATGCAGGCCCATGTCTAGTTCGACGACTAGTTTTGCAAACAGGGGTACTACCCAACGTCATTCCGTGAAAGTCAAAATTAATGGGGATGGTTTTCAACACCAAAACAATTGTACAACGGTCCTCATTTAAAAATAAAAATTAAAAAAATCAATTGATATTATATACGAACACAATCACGAGGGGGGAAGATGGCTGAGAGGCAGCCTGAGGTAATGAAGATAGATCGGCTATGAAAGGAGAAGGAGTAGCTACAGCGAGATCTATATACATGGGGTGTAGGTGTTTGCTGAGTAATGCCAAGACTAGATTGGCATTTATGTCACGTGTAGGTCTTTCATGTTCAAGCACCTACACTGCCTTGCTCATTGCATGTATGGAGCCCTGAGGGCGTAATTAATACACATCTCTTTCAAAAATAATTGCTCTGTATTATAAAAGTATACATCGAAGCCCTCAGTATGGCTCGCAACTAAAATGAAAGCGTACTTCATGTTTTGTGTCATTCTGCTCCATCTCAATACTTTGTGAACCCTCCATTTTCATTTATCACCACTATACATCTTTCGTATCTGTTAGCCACACTTAACGGAAGCTTCTTCCGAGCAATGCATCTACTGTAACCTATCATATTGAGGGCATTGGAAATTAAACCCTCACTGCATCCCCAGTGGCTGAAAGGTCCCATTGCTAGTTCAAAGTAGCACATCTGTCGATTTCCAAGAGATTCCCGGACGAAAGCCTCAAGCTCATCAACTTGTTCCGCGCTTAATTTAGATAAGCATCTTTTGCGAGGCTTAGGATTCTCTGTCTCTCGAGCACACATAAGTATTACGGGCTGTGCCCCGTTCGATTAGGCTGGGCTATCTTTCAGGCCCAGCCTCGTTCAATGACTTAAATCACGTGATCCAGGTGGGGTTGTTTCTCACGACTCGAATCACTCAGTTAATTATGCTGAGGCTGGGGAACAGATCACTCAGTAGCGAAGGATTACGTGTCAGGAATCAAGATCACTGGTAGCCGCTGAGGGCATGTTTACTGTTACAGATTTCCTATGGTTAATTTCTATAGAAAATTTTTAATTCTTTGAGGTACTGTTTACGTGCGGTGTCCGTAATCCTTTTCGCCCTTAACAGTAAGTTGCACTTGCCTTCTTGTGAAGCTAAGTTCGTCGGATATATGTTGTAATGTCAAGCCAAGTCTTCTTTGTGTTCTTATTTCAATACATTGATCGTGAGTTAGATGCTTGCGAACTTTAGTTTCTGAAGCAGACTTCTCCAGATACATTGTTTGCTAGAATAGAGGATGAATTGATAGTGGTGTTAAGATTCACGGACTGTGAAGGTTAGGCATCCAAAAAGCGTTGAAAATGTGTTTTTTAACCGAATGTTAGAAGAAGACGATTGGACCATACTTCATGGCGAGCGGGATAGGGAGGATAGACATACTAACCTATTACTAGCTAGCCCAGCCGCGCCTACAGGGCTAATCCCTTAAATATCCCAGTTTCGAGGATAACATTTTATATCCCAGAGGCACTGTACTTCGCGGTAGCTAACCTGATCCGGCCCAACCCCACACGCGCTTAGGCTCCAGTAGGAGTGCAACGATAGCCACTTAACCGAGCACGTCATAACTCTAATCCCAGCGTATCCTGGGCACTTGCTTCGGCGGAGGGAGTTGATGCGTTCAATAATTGGGTGCGTGTCACAGATTTCTTCGAAAAGGCACAACGAACAGTCTGATTCGAACGAAATCACGATCTAATGTAAACAATCTTCTCCTTTTATTTTTTTGTTTGTGTTTATTGTACTACTTGAGTCTATGACTATCTAGCACATCGGGCTCCTCTCTGACCCAGGCCACACCTTGTATAGTGCTCCTATCCTCTTTTGTTACTTGAAAGATCATTGATATATTCCCCTTGATGAATAGCCATTCAGCTCAGTGTTTACCTGTGGAGTTCGGCCACATTTTCCACGGAAGTCGTAATTTAGTTGAATTATATGTTCTGAGATTTGTTGCATTATACTTATAGTCTAGTCTAACTTCTACCGTATGCCACTTTTCGACTAGCAGTGACAACTGCACGCGGATAATATCTTTCTCTTGACAGGTAGTTCTTCTGATAGTCCGACATGTTGGAGCATCCTTAGTTTCAGATAGTTATCCATGGTGAGAATCCAAGATTCATGTTCTAGTATCCTGCTTCTAGTAGAGTTATATACATCTGTTACTAGATTCAGGCATTTTATTAGGATAGTTCGCATTGGTTTGACAATCCTATCTGGTATGCTACCCGCTGGCCTAGCTGCAGCCCATATAGAACACCCGTAAGTTAGGGCTGGTCTCATTATCGTGCTGTACAAAAGCTTTGACTTCTTGAATGTTGCACCCTAAATTGGTTGTACTTTGGTGTGTGACTTTTGTTGGATATGCTTTACATGGGAGCCCAATTGGAGCTTAGGGTCGAAATTTTTATTATTATTATTATTATTTAACGTCGTGCTACGGGTCGAAATTTATACTAAGGACTCGAAGGGAAGACTGTGGAGGCGTCAGATGACCTCGTATTCTGACAGTTGCTTCAAGGTTGTGTCCCTTGCTCGTTTGAAATGCATTAGTTGGTACTTCTCTGGCGCAGACTTTGCGCCGTTCTCTTCTGCCCATGCGCCGGTAAAGACGAATTCTCCACCTTCCAGTGGTGCCGATGTAATCGCTCAGTATGCTCTTCGTATCTGGGATAGCTAAGAAGAATCGCATCCGAATCAAAGTCGAAAGCAACCCCAAATATATCTCCATTTGACGACTTCTCGACAATGCCTCTCTTGTCATTCTCATTTGAGTCCTCAACCTCTCTCTAACCACACATCATCTTGCCTCGCCGACCGATAAAGAAGTTGCTCCAATTGCATGCTGGAGCTTGCCCCATTAATTTCCAGCCATCTCGCACTATATATTTACAATGTTATTTATACCCGCAAGGAGGAAATTCAGTCATAATATACAAAGTAGGGGTCTTGGTTTATGGGAGACTGCTGCTCTAATGGAGTTATACATCTTGAGGAAGGACAAGCGGCTGAAATGTGAAGTGAGAGTAGGAATATCTCTCTGAAAACCATTCTAGGACCGATATTTTCGAGGGGTTTTGAACTTTGGAACGTTTGTAGGCGCCAAGACCGAGATTTCGGTCATTTAACCATGAGGGCTTCTTTTGTCGATGAGTCAACGGCACTCCCCAGCGCCCTGGACGGTACAAAAGATGTTCGCCTAAGCTGCCACACAGCAATCACGCTTTGTCAAGACTTTTCTGACATTTCGGCACGACCTTCGGGAAGGAGTTGGAAGGGGGCTAGAAAGGTAGAGTGTGAATTTTCCGAGGTACCCACAAGTCTGCAGCGCCTAGCTGGCCGGCCTCTTCGAACGCTTCAGAAGGATCACTATGTCTTCGGATTTATTCCTAATGTCGGTATTAGAAGAGCCCCGCACCCAGTGGCTTTTGCAATTTTTCCCGGCTGCCATACACCCGCAAATGGCCATCGTTTCGTTGGCTGGAGAGGGGAGATAATGAAGGGCAAAGGGCTCCTCTTAGTGTATGATCCAATGAGGACTTGCGAGGGATGGTACTGTTTGAGGGGAGCTGTATGGGAGGCATAGGAGGGGATAAACTACTGGTATAGGTATCCTTGGCCTGTAGGCAGAGAGGACCTGCATGTCCTACATAGTCATAGACTCTTTTATTTTTTTTTTTTTGCATCAGATTTTAATTGCGTATCCAGCTATCTAGCTATGACACAATATCAAAGAAAAGTACAGAATAGATGATTCATCGTTAAGGAAGAGCACTCATGCCTCAGATTTCATTTGCAAGCATCACTGCGAAGTTATGGTGGCTTTTTCTTCACCACAAGTTAACCCTCATCCGTAAATACCCACTCAGGGGAACGTCTCAAAAACCCTGAGTTATCAAGACATGCCTCCATCATCTTTCAAATTTTCTCCGCGCGAAATATGGCCTGAGATGTCTCCTTCCCAAGTGGAGTATGTGCCCAGGCTACTCAAACCATACCGGAGAACACCACCAGGAGGCGGACCACAACACCTTCCATCGTTTGCTTGTTTTTATAGTGTCAACTGCACTCTCGCAAGCGAAGTCTTGGCGCGCACAAAGCCCAATTCGAAAAACTCCTTGCCAAAATTCGGAATCTCATGCCCTTCGAGGTTATATCCGTCCTTCGCATCATCTTGTCAACTTGTCCAGATCTCTCTCACATCCATCCCAAAGAACTGTCTCCCAGATTTGTGCGCCACGCTTTCCTTCCTCCGTCGGGTATAAATATCGGCGTGGGCGTGTATCTGGTGACCAGCTGAGGCCAGAGAAGGTCGAAGAGTGGTGTGGTCATTGGAATGAGGATGTACTTGGTCGTACTTGTAGACTCGATGAGACGAAAATAGGAGTCAAAGTCGTTGGGAGCGAAATAACGACGTGGAGGAGCAATTTGGATTTTTGCCTCGCGGGCCAACTTCTTTGATATTGCGAAATTTGACTGAACTTGGCTTTGGGAGAATATTTCACTCGCAGGTTCGTAGAGGACACCGCGTACAGGTGTTCAGTCTTGCCCTCCTGTCTTTTCGCCCATTTTACCTTGAATGACAGGTCATGATATTCTTCCTCTTGCTGGCCATCATCATGCTTATGGTTTTGGACAAAAATGAAAATTTTGATACTAATGTTACAAAGAAGTGAGATATAGATGAATATGCGTATCTCATGTGATCCCGTTGTCTAGGCCTCGCCTGACTGGGGCTGTAGGTTTTTCGAGACTTTTTCCTGTACACGCAGTTTCCATAGCTACCTAATTTCTTGGGCGGAAGTTACCGTGGAAAAGGTGACCAAATTCCACAGGTAAATAATGAGCTGAATGGCCATTGTTCATCGAATTTACATCAGAGCTTTTACAAAGAGCAAAAGAGGGCGGTTTCACTGTGCAATGAGTGGCCTGGGTCAGAGAGGAGCCCAGTGTGCCAGATAGTCATAGACTCAAAAGGTTCAAGTGACTCACACACTGACGGTTATATCCATGATAACCCAGCGGGACAAAGAAAGGCACCTCCTTCGATGTTGATTTGTCATCTCACACCCCTGTATTGATAGTAATATTTAAGCTGCCTTTCCACAGCAACCTGACGTACAACAATAACCAACCTTATGTGCTTAGCATCGCGGCTTAAATGTCAGTTAATATCTCGCAGGTAAGTAAAGCTAGTAATGTCCATATCTTAACCTAACGAAAAGTTAGGAAGAGCTGTTTGAATTTCATACAGCACACTTCTCTAAAGTCAACAGGGATCATTTTGCTAAACATTTTCTTGGTCCGGTCGCACATCTTGAAGATCATCTAGGCTACTACGAGGATGGTTCAGAAAGAACACTTACTGACGCGCAAATTTGTATATTTCGACACACAGAAATACAAAATCTTTTCAGAGAACGCCAATATATGCGCGAGGCAATGGGTGAAATGAACCCCGACAACCCATCTGAAATACAGATACCAAAAAGTTCTGACGCTATTAGCTCGTCATCCAACAAAACTAACGTGAAGCGTCCCTCAAACAAAGAAAGGAAAGCACTTAAAGCGAAGCAGAAAGGGTATTTCAAACCAAACAACAAACCTGACTTGCGGAAAAGGACATGGGATAAAGTTGAGCCTGGATATGGGAGCTTAAACTATGATGAGGCACAAGGTAGTGTCGATTCAAGTCAATTACGTTCATTACAAAGACGTCGTATATCATATGGAGAGTCTTAAAGGTGACCAAACTGATAAGAATACATCACCTACCATTCATAATAATCACATACTCAAATTAGGACTGCTGATGGAGGTAATGTAACAATAATTGGAAAGTCGAAAAGTGATGGACGAGGTTTAAAAAACAGCAAATAGTTCAGTAATTGGAGACGAGCTCTATAGTATCTCTCCTTCACGCAAATGTAATGTTTGTTCAAATTAGGTATGTGCAACAAATTTAGTACATCTTCTTAAGTTAAATGATGAAATTTATCGTATCGTCATCCTTAGTCTGATCCTAGAAGTAAGACTAGTGCTGCCACGTTGGCTAGCTAGTTATACAAGCTAGAACTTTGATGTAACTTAATCTTCTCTCTGATAATATAGAATACAGCTTATTCCTCTGACAGTAATAAGTTCTAGCTAACATGTAATGTTTAGGCACAGGCTAGATGCGTTGAATATCTTATCAAATTACAACATTAATAACCTTACTCATAATATTTATATGTTCAATGGAGGCTTATCGATCAAAGAACTCTCAGGGCTCAATTTCAAATTAGATTCAACAAATCACCGCTCTATTTTTCTATGGATTTGGAATATGAAAGCCTGATGGTATGTGTACAACTTCCTTGGTTCTAAGCCTCAAAGCAATTATTTTGAATTGGATGATTTTTATATAAAGTTTAGTTGTGAAGGAGAATAACCTTCAATTTATTGCTGCACTTCAAAAGTCTAAAGCTGAAAGCCGAGACACAGAACCAGGTCATGAGTAGGTTGACGCAGTCCACATGGGGAGCCACCTTTCATAAGTCAAAGCTGCTTCACAGCGTAATAGTGAGACCAGCCCTTCCGTATAGGTCATCAATTTGGGCAGGGGCCGGACCAGGAAGTAAAATACCTGAAAGAATAGTCAAACCCCTTCGAAGTTCTCAAAGAAATTGCTTAAAACTAATCACGGGGACATATAAATCGATCAGCACCAGGGTTCTGGAACACGAAACCGCTACACTTCCTATAGAAATCTACTTGAAGCAGTCAAGTATACAATACGTAGGCCGTTCAAATTCACTACCAGTCCAAAAAACTATTCAACCTGCATATAATATGATCAAGCCCCCCAGAAGAAGGAGAGAAGATGTTCGAGAAAATAATAGAAGAGCAGACCTTGCCTACTGGGGATACATTTGCGGAGACGAGCAATCTAAAGAGTCACAGAAAGGAGCGTTAAAGGTTGCAGCATATCTAGAATGAGCGAAATCTTTGTCTGCCTTCAAAAGAAGACGACGGCCTGGAAAATTTACCGCAGCAGATCCTGAAACTTGGAAAGCGGCTAAGTTCTATCAATGCCGACATACTGGACGTCAAAGAATAAGTTTCCAGAAAACTCCTCTTAATTTCCATAAAAACCTGTCGAGGGCCCAAAGCAGCTTAGCAATCCAAATTCGAAGCGAGCGTATCGGGTTCAATTCGTATTTGCATAGAAGAAAAGTACCAGGAGTCTACGATCCATGCTGTCCGTGTGGCTATCAATCACAAAATCCTAATCACATGATCATGTCCTGCCGTAAGTGGTCAAGTGTTAGGGATGAGACATGGAAAAAAGCCCAAATACGCTCCTTGTCGCAATTATAGACAATCCTGGCAATACTAAAAGAATTACGCAATGAATTCTTAGTCATGGTCGATTTGATTTGATTTTGATTGAATTTAACGTCGTGCTTGTCCACAGCTCGTGACTACTGTCACGTGATGGACGGCCCAGTCCCTACAAAACTACCCGACGCTCTAGTGCGCACTATAACACCTAGAAATTACAAAAGATTCTGACCAGCTGTCCGCCACTGCTGGACAAGCAAGAAAGAAGCGGGTAGGTTTACAAGAGAGTGGCTATCCACTCTCCCACCCGACTGTTTCTGCGTGTACAGTGATGGCTCTGGGGCCTCCACCGACAGAGTGTTATGGGCCTTTGTGACGTTTATCAGTGGCACAGGCACGGTAATTGAGCATGGCTCAGGCAAAATAACGAATGCGGAGGTTCATGAAGCTTTGGCAGCCCTAGAAGCAATCACCGCCAGCGAGAACGAGGCCGCAGTGCCATCTATTTCCTGCTCGACAATCCTGCGGCTATCCAGGCTTTACTGACGGTAACAACGGGCTCATCATCCTGGCGGATCCAAAAGCTCATAAAAATGGCCGCAAGATCAGCCGCGCCTGTAAAAATAGGATGAATCCCGGGCCACGAAGGGCTGATAGGAAATGAAATTGCTGACGAACTCGGCCGAAGAGAGCTTAACTTGCCGGACAACTCTTGGACGACATATGGTGTGATGACCCTCGCCTCATCTGGACGCAAAGCCCGCGAAATAGCCAGGCAAATGTTGACAGACTGGTGGCATTCAAACCGCCCCAAACATTACGCCGATCTTGAACTCGAGATGTGCCGCAAGAAACCGCCAGAGCTAGCGCTACCGAGAGCGGTCTACGCCCGCCAAATCGCCGCTCTAGCTGGACATGGGGACTTTGCGGCATATCATCGCCGCTTCAACCATATAGATGCTACACTTAACTGCGAGTGTGGGAGGGAAAAATCGGTCAGTCACCTCGTCCAGTGTCGAAAAGCACTGGCAACTTGGCGGTTAAAAAGTGGAAGGCAAATGGCGCCAGCTCTGGAAATGTTGCTCGGATCAAGTGGATGGCAGCTGTTCAGGGATTACGTCCAGGAGAGCGGAATATACACGGAGCCTAGTCGGGGGATGGCAGGGATACCTGTGACTCGGAGGTGATAGAACGAAAGCCTGGGTGGTTTGGCATGGAAAGAGGGATAGGAATCGAGGCTCAGGCGCGTGGTGGCCGAGGCGGAACGATGGAAAGGAAATTTGTTAAGTTTTCCTTTGTAATGCGGGATTTCGCGTGAAAGTTTTTGTTTTGTTTTCAATTCTGGGCTGCTGAACTCGTTACGATTTAACACATAGATGCGTTTCGGCATGGTTCCGGTCATTTAGGTTGGACGAGGCATTTGTACTGCACGGTAGTTAACCTGATCCGGCCCGAACCCACTCGTGCTCAAGCTCCAGTAGGAGTGCGACGGTAGTTACTTCACCTAGCACGTTAATGAACAAAAAACGCACTACTCGAGAGATTCGAAAATTCATTTTTTCCCTCTTTCCTCCCTTCCCGACCTCGTCGCATCCATCTCTGAATTGTGATCGAGCTCAGGCATTTTCACCATGCCTCCAGTTCGCAAAAAGCGTCCCAACGCTAAGTTGGACAACACGAGGATCCGCCCGAGGGCTCTCTAACAGTTACCTGGCCTTGACCAGTCTCCAAAATGCGCAGAGATGAGTAAGGTCTCAACCAAAGGGAAGGAAAAAGCTCTCCCCGCCGTCGCTGAACCCGATACTGACATGATCGGGTCAGTTGAAATTGTTAAGTGTTGATGGAGAAAGAGGATCACTTATGACAAAGCAGAGAAATGTGAACTGATTACTTGGTTATGTATGATCAAATGTTAATCGTAAGCATCAAAAAAGATAGAAGTTGAGTATGCAGGTCTTAATTGGAATCGTCTTTCAAGACGTAAGCATTCACATGTGCAAACCGGTGGTGCAATAGATTTTCTGATGTGCACTTATTGCCTTCTGACACGAGTGCATTAGAATTGTACTCTGGGGATAGAGAGTGTGCTGAACATTCCATACTGAAACAAAAAAGACCATTTTTGTCATGAATGCGCTTTTCACATTAGTAGTAAATCGTCATCCACGTAGTATAGCACGCAGAGCCAGGGAAATGGAAACAGGTTAGTGATAAATTAGATACCACCGATCACTACACTCACCCGTAGATCACTCCTAAAAGAGACTAGCTACGGCGCTATCTGGAAGTATGTGGGATTGGTTAATTATCATGTAGATAACCTGTAACATAACATAACATAATAACACAATAAGATACCATTTGCATCCCGTAATATTTTATTGCCATAATCACCCAAGTATATTCTAAGCCCCCTGAGTAGTCTTAACCATTTAATTGAAGATACCAAGTGTATACAACCATATACATCACCACCCTCCAATAATTTTTAGGACGTGCATTCATAACAATATTATTGTTAGATCAATTAACTTCTAGTCCATACTTGTTAGTCTTAATTTTATAGCCTTTGGGAGTTAACTGAGAGCCTGAGACGAGGTTCTTTGCACAAGATGGTAGGTACCAGACATCACTTAGTCTGACAGTTCTAGTTTGATGTTTATTATTTGCATAATCTATCTCAAAACTTACTGAGCCAGACCAAGAAACAGGTTCCACACGTCCTGATGCTGTTTCAATGGACTTCCTCACAGGTACCATCGACGTGAATAATGATGAATCACAGGAAATATGATGAGTTGCACCAGTGTCAAGAATAACATCGTTGGAAGATAAAGTTGAACAGGACAAAACGTACTCATTTTCAGGTTGGTTTTTATCATTTGACCGGCTACCTCCAAATCTTCTCGAGTGACATAACTGTCTCTGCTTTCTGTGAGTTTTTAGCGGCCCATTTCGATCCATCTGCAGTGTCCATCTATTTAAAGCACGTTCACGGGTATGATTATTCCTTCCACAGAAAGAACAGATCTTCATCGTCATATCTTTTCGAGAGTTGGCAAAATTGGCGACGGCTTTCTCGTTGTACTTTAAATAGTTTCTTTGACTGTCCCTTATTAAGTTGACCGCTTCGAGGAATGAAACATGACTATTCAATTTCATGAAAGATACTGCCCCATTGTGGAAGCCGTTGCATTCAGTTTCGAAATGATCTAGGAGGCGATTCCTTTTCGATAAATCAGAAGGGCGCTTGGATGGATCTAAAGACGCAATTTTCGATTGCAGTTTTGTCAACTCTATTGCGCACTCATCAACATCAGCGCCCGATTCAAAGTTAAGACTCCAAAATTCTTTGATGAGCCCATCTACGTAAACTTCGCTATTAGGTTGGTAGTATGCAGCAATTGAATTCCACA